GCGGGACCTCCACTTTCGGCGACCTCATGTCCTCCACCCGTTAGAGATAACTGAGTCTTTTCGAAGTTTTGAGGGACCGCTCGATTTCTTGGTCTGTCTGCACTATAACGATAAACTTGCTGCTTCTTAAAAATTATTTGCTGTGGGATAATTACGGAAAAATTGGATCAAAGTACTCCGTTGCGGTGTGAGTCACGACGTGATAGATACCCTTTAGGCATTCGGAAATGCAGTCACGATACAAAATAATAACAGCAGCAGATTTGGTAAATTTATCAAGATCAACTACCGCGAGAATGGAATGGTTTCGGGGTAAGAACCAGACCAACCAGATAGTGATCACCTTTGTTAACAATTTACAGAGCAAATGTGGAGATCTACCTGCTAGAAAAGTCAAGAATCATATCGCAGGCTAAAGGAGAAAGGTAACACTGTACTATTATATTGTCCTTATCTTTTATATTGTTGATATTGTCCCAAAAATCCATAAAAAAGAACCAAGCGCGGAACAGATGAAATTTTAATTTGGTTTTTACGTTAGCACTAATGATTAGTGTGGCATATGAAGCAGTGTAGGAATAAAAGTCATAGCACAGCTCAACGAAAGATGCCTTTCTATTGGTTATTTCAACCCATTTACTGGCTTTCGCAGATTTTATACACTGATGGTTTTTGAGCTCGAATACTGCTCGAATATGCTTTGAGTTTAGGAACTATCACGTGTTCTACTATCTCCTAGAAGGGGCCACAGATGAAGAGCGAGCAAAATATTTTTTACTGAAGCCGCAGGATTACCGTTATCTAAATCAGGTTGGCAACAGGAAAGCCGTTTTTCCACGTTTAAATCTTTTTTGCAGCACGAACAATTCTCACCCGAGGGGGTGAATGAGAAATATGAGTTTGATCGGCTTCGACGAGCCATGAGCAGCGTCGGCTTCAGCACAAATACGCAATCGACAATTTTCGGTCTTATATCGGCTGTGCTTTTGCTTGGAAATATCTCTTACATTAGCGTATGGATCAATCATCTTACCGCAGTTTTTCCTCTGAAAAGCGTCGTTGTTTTTGCAGAGGCATGCCTACCATAGCGATGAAAATGCTTACATTGAGAACGAAGAAGTGGTTGACTTGGTGGCTCAGTTACTGAACATAAAGACAGAAGCTCTGATGCAGGTTGGGTAGTGTAGCTTCTGTTCCTCCAAGGAAATCAGGTTTTAGGCTTTGACAATGAAACGACACGTAATGAAGACGGAGACCGTCGTGACACGGTTCAGTGTTTCAGAGGTTTGATAGACTATGGGGAGACCGTATCTACGATCTTAACTATCTTTTCCAGGCGATAAACACCCGAGACGCGATGGCAAAGTGCTTGTACAATGCTTTGTTTCATTTCATTGTCTTGCGCATCAATCAAGCGCTGATGAGGAAGGATGTATCCGGGAGCGTTGGCTATTACATAGGTATAAAAACAAATGTCAGATTATTTTCACTCTTACCAGATCAAACAGATTTTCAATTTTCAATATTTTCAATCTATTAGATTGGAAAAGAAGAATGTCGTTCTTCATAGCCAAAAAAATATGATGAGTACCATTCGATAGAGTAAAGAAAGCTCTTCAAGATGAGCTTTGACCATTGGCGGAAATCGTGATTTACCCAAAGTTTGGAGTCGAAACACAAGAGCAACTCATAGTGCCAAAAATCGGATTTTCGCCTCAAAAATCCTACCAACTTTTCACTTATTCATAGGTACACTGGCTATATTTCTTCCCTGCTTAGAAATCAAGAAAGAATTCAAAAAAGGAAAACGGCAAACTTCGCCCCCAGTGGTGCTGGCTAATATACGCCGTTGCATACTAAAAGCTTCACGCTTTGACCATAATTTTGGCATTGCATATATCTTGGTTCTTGAGGACTTTCTTCAGCAGAAAAATCCCGAAAAAAGCGACATTCTTTTCTTTCCAACCTATTGTTTGCACTTCAGGACTTTCATCGATGCAAATTCATGAACTTCCGCTCTATAACTTGAATAAAAGAGTTACTGGCTTGAAAATGAAGAAAAGAAAACAT